CATTGGGGAAAGAACAGTCTCTTCAATAAATTGATGGAAAACTGAAGATCCATATGTAGAAGAATGAAACTAGACCCCTATCTCTCACCATATACCAAAATCAACTCAAAATGGATTAATGACTTAAATGTAAGACCTGAAACTATAAAACTTCTAGAAGAAAACATAGAGAAAATACTTCAGGACATAGGACTGGGCAAGGATTTTATGAATAATACTTCTGAAGCACAGGGAACAAAAGCAAAATTTAACAAATGGAATTATATCAAACTAAAAAGCTGCTGTACAGCAAAGGAAACAATCAACAAAGTGAAAAAACAACCTGCAGAATGGAAGAAAATATTTGCAAACTATGCATCCAACAAGGGATTGGTATCAAGAATATACAAAGAACTCAAACTCAATAATAAAAAATCAAATAATCTGACTAAAAAATAGACAAATAAACTGAATAGACATTTTTCTTTTCTTTTTTTTTTTTTTTCTTACAAAGATGACTGGTAAGGGGATCTCAACCCTTGACTTGGTGTTGTCAGCACCACGCTCAGCCAGTGAGCTAACTGGCCATCCCTATATATAGGGATCCGAACCCATGGCCTTGGTGTTATCAGCACCACACTCTCCCGAGTGAGCCATGGGCTGGCCCTGAATAGACATTTTTCAAAAGAGTACACACAAATGCCCAACAGGTATATGAAAAAATGCTCAATATTCCTTGCATTCCAGAGAAATGCAAATCAAAACCACAATAAGATATCATCTCACCCCAGTTGGGCTGGCTATTATAAAAAGATAGAAAATAACAAATGCTGACAAGGATGCAGAGAAAGGGGAACTCTTATACATTGTTGGAGGGAATGTAAATTAGTACAGCCATTATGGAAAACAGTATGGAGATTTCTCAAACAACTACAAATAGAACTGTCATTTGATCTAGCAATCTCACGACTGGGTATATGTCCAAAGGAATGGAAATCAGCAAGTTGAAGGGATGCTTGCACTCTCATGTTTATCATGACTCTATTCACAAAGCCAAGAGTTAGAACCAACCTAAGTGTCCTTCTACAGATGACTGTATATAGAAAAAGTGGTATACATACACAATGGACGACTACTCAGCCATAGAAAAGAATGAAATTCTGCCATTTGCAGCAACATGGATGAGCTTGGAGAAAATTATGTTAAGTCAAACAAGCGAGGCACAGAAAGAGAAATACCACGTTTTCATTCATATGAGGGAACTAAAAAAGCTGACCTTACAGAAGTAGAGAGTAGAATAGTTGTTACTAGAGACTAGTAAGGGGAGCAGGGAGAGGGAATGGGGAGAAGGTGTCAATGGATACAAAACTGTAGAGAGAGAGGAAGAATGGGATCTATGGTTCTATAGTCATACAGGGAGACTACAGTCAACAACAAAGTACTGTGTGTCTTTGTATAGCTGGTTGAGATGATATAGAATGTTACCAACACAAAGGTGACAAGTGTTTGAGGTGATGGATATACTAGGCGCACTGCTGTGATCATTGCACACAGTATGAATGTACCCAAATATCATATTGTACTCCATAAATATATACAATTATCAGGGGTCAATTAAGAAAAACAAATTTAAAAGAAAAAAAAGAAATAGAAAGTAGGATAGTGGTTACCAGAGGCAGGGAAAGGGAGGGGGTGAGGGAACAGGGAAAGGTTGGTAGACTCTACAAGTTACAGTTAGATAGGAAGAATAAGTTCTGGTGCTCTAGGGTGACAATAGCTAATATTACTGTATTGTATATTTCAAGATAGCCAGGAAGAAGATCTTGAATGTTATAAACACAAATAAATGTTTAATGTTTAAGTAAATGTTTAAATATGCTAACTATTCTGATTGGATCATTATATAACGTATGCATGCATTGAAACAACAAACTGTACCCTATAAACATGTACAATAAAAAAACCTAAAAAAACCCCCAAAAATTAAAAAATTAAAAAATTGAAGAAAAAAGAAAAACAAAGGAACACTAAATAGTAATAGCTACAGTTTATTAAATACTTTCTGTGCACTAGATATGGTGAAAGTTGCTTAACATATGTTATTAATTCATTGAACTTTCACATCAACCCTGTGGAGCAGGTGCTATTTTGATGCCTATTTTACTACTAAAGAAACTGAAGCTTAGAGAAGTTAATTGCCTTAAATGATACATTTCTGGTTTCCACATCATGATAATGACAGGTAATAACTATACAAATAGTTAATGAACAAATTTCATAGTACAATGCAATAAGCAGAGGCTCTGGAACCAGAAAAATTTAAGTATGAATATGGGCTTCATCACTTTCTATCTGGGTACTTTTGGTAAGCTATGAAAGCTTCTAAATCATAGTTTCACATATATAAAAAGGAGATAAATAATGTCCTTAATATTAGATAATGCATAAAAAATGCCTGGTAAAAGTATTACTTAAATGTTAGTTACTTCCTTTCTATCCCCTCCATTGTATACTGTGTTGTAGAAACACAAAAAGGAATTATGCCACCTCAAAGATCTTACTACTCAGTTGGTGTGAAGTTATTAAATATACCTGAAATTAAAGAGAATATGAGGCCAAATAGTAAATATTTACTCTGTGATACAGATTATAATTCAAAAGCGAAAAAGATCCATGATGACTGGAGTGGATCAGAGAAGGCATTATGAAGGAGCAGAAGTGTGCAGAAATTTTATGCAGAGCAGCAGAAAGGTGTTTTCCCCTATCACGAAAAAGATCCATGATGACTGGAGTGGATCAGAGAAGGCATCATGAAGGAGCAGAAGTGTGCAGAAATTTTATGCAGAGCAGCAGAAAGGTGTTTTCCCCTATCCCTGCTATATGGGCAAAAGCACACATCAGTGAAACCAAGAAGCTGCCCTCTTAATTAAAGAGGGTGGATAAGGATTATGGAACATTCTGATGGCTAGACCGTGGAGGTGAGATTTGATTAAGTAGGAAATATGGAGCTAATGACGGTTTGGGGTCAAGGAAAAGGAGAGAAGGAAGAATGATATAATTAATCTTATCTTTTTTATGGAAATATTGTGAAGGATTCATTTTTTTTCCCGAAGAAGAAAAGTACTACCTCTCAAAATGTTATTCAAACATATTTTGCATTTATAGAAAAGGGAACAAAAGAAAAAGAAAACAGGCCTGTTGTCTCACTTCATGTTGTAATATAATCATCAAGAAGGAAGTAGAACCCAAGGCCTCTAATTGTGGCCTACATAAATTTTTATATTACTGAATAATATCACATTAACGTACTGGTCAAAACTAGTCAACCGTGACTTATTTATAATTCATCATACCCACTGTCACTTATAGACAGAATATTTTGTGACATATTTTAATAAACAAGTGTCATCATAAACTTTACCCTGTGTGAAAGGCCATAGCACCCTCAAGGAAACACAATGAATGACTCCATACTAAGATGCAAATTATAATTTCAGAATCCTGAGACAAAAGTGTCTCATCCTTCCAATGCATCTTTAAAAATGCCCACTATAGGTATTTTTATATCCTTACCCTTTTACAGCTCATTACATAGGAACTATCAATCAGTTCTACAACACTCTTAAAACATTTTAAATGAGCCAATGTGGTTTCTTATTACACCCCAGTCTTCTCCCATTACTCCCTTTATTTTAGGCTAAAACTTGGGCATTATTTTCTAACCATATGCTACATGCCATGCTGGGGATTATATAACTTTTTGGTTTTATCAAAATGGTACCCTTTTGGTTTAAGTTACATGACACTTTCTTAAATTTACAATCCTAAAAAAATTACTTATAAAACAGAAACAAAACTGGTGGGCCCAATTAAATAGAAAAATACTTTTAAAATGACTTTTCTTTCTAGTGTTATTTTCTAGTTTTTTAAAAACCATTTTATATTTGATAGATTTATAACAAAAATGGATTATTTCTTTGCATAATAAAGTTAATATGAAAGGTGAGAGAAAATACAGACACTGCTAGACTTAGAAATGCACTGTATATTCTCATAGCTACTGTCTTGATTTCCAAAATACACAACAAACATGCTCATGAAATTTGAGAGATTTAAAAAAAAATTGGGTCCTTTTGAATTCATAGGGTAGGACTTGGAAGCTTTGGAGTAATAGATCTTGGGTCACTAGGGCAATTTTGTCCTTTTTTAGTTTTTATAAATCACTAAGATTATAAAATGTAGTTAAAATTTGGCAGCAGTATTACTGCTACCCTGAGTATTTAAAAGTTTCTCAGTAATGTGGATACATACATCTAAAGGAAGGTATAATCTCTCAAGAAACTTCCAAAATTATTTAAAAACAACAAAAAAATGTGGCATGTAAGTAAGTGGAGATTCCTGGGCTTTTAAGCCTCTGAAAGGCTGCCAAATATTGAAACAAATTGGGGACAATTATTTTTATTTTTAACAGTCTTAAGTATTTGATTTAGCATTTTAACCGTTTCCTCGTCGACAAGGATTTAATTTTATATTGGCTTAGTCCATATTTCCAGGGCACGCATGGCCAATTTTTAACTTTTATCATAACTGTTATTAAACAATAGTTCCGAACATGAAGGAACTGTTAACTTTTCCATGGGCCTGTGAATTCCTTAGGAATTGGGGCATGAGGTAAACTCCCACAGGCTAGAAGAACTCTATTCTTTTCCTACAGTCAGGCACAGCATTAATATCTCTTCTAGAGCAAAGGATATAACACACACATCCACACCCCTAGTTGTTTCTGTAGCTAACGTTAAACAAAGGCTGCTGTACAACAGAAACGCGATGAAATCTACTAACTTTTACTAGGCCACTTACAGCCCGAATCTCAGAAGCAGCATCTCCCTCAATAAAAGGAAGGAAGCAATTTTCACCAGTGGGGGACTCTCCTCTCTAGACCGGAGCGGTGATCTGGGGCAGTGGGGTAAGGAAGGCCTGACAGGGAACATGGGTCGACAGTTGGGGGGATGCTCGCTCACCACAGTGGATCCTTTCTTCACCGCTTCCTGGGCATATTCCACTTGTAAAAGGTGTCCATCTGGGGAGAAGACGGTGATTGCCTTGTCGTACCGAGATGACATCGCACGGGACTACAAGGATTCTCGTGGAGCTTCCAAAGCTACTGCAGCTGAGGCTGGCGGGGGCAGCTTGTGCCACCACGTGCCACAGCCGGTAACTGCCTGAAGACCCGCTTTGAGAAGCCACCCGGAAGTCCTGCAGCCGCCCGGAAGTGCTTGCGTGTGCTCTTCGCGCTGCCTCCCAGAAATCCTCGCGCCGGCCAGCCTGTGTGATGCCGGCAGTGTCTGTGCGTTGACCGCGTCCCTGCCCTACGCTTGGAGCCTGGCGCATATGTTCCAGTCATCGGGTTATAAAAATGATATCAAAGGTTAGGTCTTAAAGAAGAGGTTTTCAAAGATCAGGTATTTTTGTTCTAGCTTACCTGTTCAGAGAACTGTGGTAAGTTAAATTTCAATCCCTTCCCTTTGGTTTCAAATTCTAAATTTCTACTCTTTTTTTTTTTTTCTCTCTCAGATTATCTTTTGCTATTTGAAAGCAAGGAAAGAAATGATAATTCAGAATAGTGTTCCTTCTCCTATTTTCTGCCTTGTTAGCAAGATAGAGGAGATGAGCAAATGGTTCATTGAACAGAGCAAATAGTCCGTCGAACTAATGCTAATGATGGGAATTAAGATAATACTGTTGTAACTGAAGAAATTTTGTAAAAGCCCAACCTATGCGACTTAAAAGATGTCTAGAAATTTAGCTGTAGCCGAAACTCTGTATAACCTGGTTTATTACTACCTGTGAAACAACTCTGTTTCTTTATCTTCATCACTAAAATGGGAATATTAAAAAATCTGCAGCAAAGTATTCTGAGATTAAAATGTGTTTATATGCATAAGAACTTAAAATGGTGCGTGCTGGGTAGTAATAGCCAGGTAAGTTTAGTTATTACTTTTCATATATGCAGTTTTCCATTGGGGAGGATCTTAAAGTTGGTTAAATCAACCTTAAGTAAAATAAGAAAAAAAGAATCATCCACAAAAGAGGAAAGCTTGATTCCCTCAATTCCAAATACTTAGTTTAGAATTTTAGTTGATCTCTGAAAGCACTGTGTGTTTATTCTCCCATCCCTTTTCTTCAAAATTAGAAACTCTTGAAATATTTGGTTTTACTGACAAAAACAATAATTTCTAACCAAAATAATTCGCTCTAAATGTTTACTTTACAATATTATAAAAAACCAACATTTGCCAGAAGCTGTTTTTTGAGAAGTGTTTTAGTGTACTTATTAAATAATGATCATTTTTTCTTTTTATTTTGAGATAATTATAGATTCACAGGAAGTTTCAAAAACAGTACAAAGAGGTCTGGCCAGTTAGCTCAGTTGGTTAGAGTGTGGTGTTGTAATACCAAGGTGAGGGGTTTGGATCCCTGTACTGGCCAGCTGCCAAAAAAAGTAGTACAGAGGGGTTTTCTTTATCCTTGACCCAATTTCTTCCAATGGCAATATCTTGCATACAATAAGAAAACCAGGAAACCAGTGTTAATTGGTACAATCCACAGAGCTTTTTCAGATTTCACCAGTTTTATATTCACTCTTCTGTGGGTGTGGGGTGTGTTTCTCTGCAGTTTATCATGCGTAGATTGGTAGAACCGCTGTCATAATCAAGATATAGAACTATTCCATGGCCACAAAGATCCTTTATGTTATCTACTTAGAAATCATATCTGTCTCTCTCCCCACTACCGCCTCTGGCAACCACTATCTGTTCTCCATCTCTGTAGTTTTGTAATTTCAAAAATTTTATGTGGGCTGGTCAATCAGCTCACTTGGTTAGAGCTTGGTGCTTATAACACCAAGGTCAAGGATTCAGATCCCTATACTGGCCAGCTGCCAAACAAAAAAAAATTTTTTTTAATATAAATGGAATCATATAGTATGTAGATTTTTGCGACTTTAAAAAAATAAATATAGACTCTCAGTATGTTAAGATGACAGTATAGAGTGGTCTCTTGATTTTTTTTAATATAAATGGAATCATATAGTATGTAGATTTTTGCAACTTTAAAAAAATAAATATAGACTCTCAGTATGTTAAGATGACAGTATAGAGTGGTCTCTTGCACCCTTCACTTAGTTTCCCCTATTTGTTACATCAGATATAATACATCACATATCAAAACCAAGAAATTGACATTGGTATGAAGCATGTTTATACCTTTGATTGAAAGGCATTTTGTAAATGTTATAATGTATTATAATATACATTTCAGGAATATGATAGCATTAAAATGTTGACAAGGACTGTTAACACAATCAGCCTTCACCATATTGACACTATAACTTAACTGTGTGGCCTTGGGTAGGTATATTTCACCTCACTAAAACTCAGTTTCCTGAAGTGTAAAATGGGGATAATACTGATGTCACTAGTTTGTTGTGAAGAACAAATGAAATAATGCATTACTGCACCTTGGGCTGTGCCTGACACTGAGTAAGCACTTGAAAAATATTAGTTATTGTTATTTATCATTGAGGTAACTAAAAAGTTAAGATTACTCTGTTAGGGAGAAATTAGGAAGAGTAAAAATGTAGCATGAACCCATTTATACTTTTAAAAAATGTATATACAAATATATGTTTCTAAATATACACGGAAGAGTGAAAGTATATACAACAAGTTGACATAAGTGGTTTTCTTTGCAGGAGGCCAGGGTTTGGAAAGAGAATGGGAAGACATGGTAAGGAGAGAGAAGTTACTATTTTAAACCGCATATATATTTCTGTATTGTTTAAAATTTTTTTACAATAAGTATATTTTAGGGGCTGGCCAAGTAGCTCACTTGGGAGAGCAGGGTGCTGGTAATGCCAAGGTCATGGGTTTGGGTCTCCATACCAGCCAGGTGCCACAAATAAAAAACAAACAAAAAAACCCCAATAAGTATACTTTATACTTAACAAAAACAACAAGAAACAGTTTATGCCTAGGCTGCCAGCAATGGCAGTCTTGATGGTTTGGGCCAAATCTCCTATTGAGGACAACTAGAAATACTAGACAAAATATTTTAAAAATCTATGTGGTGGCTCTAAAGAGCTAACAAGGAATGAGTTTGTGGTGCCAAGATTCAGAAGAGAAGGAAAACCCAGAGGGGTAAGCCTGGCATTTCCCTCTTGCATTATTTGCCTATTCCCACTGTCTGGTTGAGAAGTAAAGCAGAACTTTGATAGACAAACATTGGAGTTCAAAGCCTGTCAAGGTATAGGGGTTATGGTAAATACCTATGCTTTTGTTTAGGATCCAAAGGGCCCCAATCTAGAAGTAAGGGTGAACCAAAAATAGACCTGTTCTGCACTTGGTTGAGGCTATTGCAGAGACCAGACTCTGCTCACTCAGGCAGCTTGCTTCACTTCCTCTGCAGCCGAGTCTGACTAACCTGATACAGCTGAGATTGAAAAATCTAATAAATCAAAATTTAAGAACACAGAAACACAAGATAAAAATCCACTGCCTTAGGGGCTGGCAGATTAGCCCATTCAGGTAGAGCGTGGTGCTGATAACAGCAAGGTCAAGGGATTAGCTCCTGTACTGGTCAGCTGCAAAAACAAAAAACAAAAACAAAATAAAAAGAACCCACTGCCTTCAAAAGAAATGATTGAACAGGGAAAGCAAACAGGTAAATCGTAATGAGATTTTTGCTGCCAGTATACAGTGTACATTTTACAAGCATTGCTTTCTTATTTTACTTCTTTTAGCCGTTTTACTTTGTAAGATGTAAAGAAGTTCGAGTGAGTTTAAATGACTGTGCTGCCTCTTTTCATATCAAAGAATTAAGAACTACTGACAATGAAGGCTGTGCCTGTCTCTTCCATCTGCCTGTCTGGCTGGCAGGGACAAAAAAGAATGTTGCATGTTGGTGAAGAAAGAAGCAGGGTGGTACAACATTGAAATCTAGAGTGAAAGTCAAGCTGGTCTAACGTGTTCTGCAGTCTGTAAAATACAGTTTAATCAGAGTGTTCCCCCCACCCCCCGTTTTTTTTTTTTTGACCAAATGATTTTAGTTACTGGAATGCAAAGTTCTTTAAATATGCAAAAAAAAAAAAAAAGTTTTAAAACTTAAAAAGTAGACCTGTTCTCACAGGGACTAAACACCAAGTTTTAAATCATCTCAATCCCTAATTGCAATAAAGCAGTGGTTCTCAAACCATGGTCCACAGATATTTGGAGGTACCCAAAAACTTTTCAAGGGATTCACAATGTCAAAACTATAGTAATAATACTAAGACAGGATTTGCCTTTTCTCTGTGTGGATATTTGCATTGACAGTGTAAAAGCAATTTAAAACTACTGAAGGATAAATCTACCGAAGCCTCAGCATGAATCAAGGTAGTAGCACCAAACTTGTACTAGTACACGTTGTATTCTTTACCACTAAGCACTCATGAAAAAAAAAAGCCAATTTCATTTTAGAATGTCATTGAATAAGCAGTAAATTATTAATTATATTAACTTTTGGCTCTTGACTATTTTTTTCCTTTTTACTCTAGACTTATTGGTAAGATCTTTTTAATATTCAGAATGACAAAGTGGGAAGTACACATGAAGCACTATTGCTGCCTTCAAAGTGAGGTGGTTAGCTTGGAAAAAAGCACTTGTGGAAATCTTTTAGTTGCTATGTGAAATAGCCCCATTTCTCATGGAACACCATTTGTACTTGAAAGAAAAACTGACAAACTTTGGCTATTGAGAGTTAGATATTTAGGCAGACAATTGAAAATGAACAAAGTGAGCCTGTCAATTCAAGAAAAACAACAGATAACAGATTTTATCTCTTTCCAAAGGAAAAATCCAAGCTTTTAAGCAAAAATGAGAATTTTTGAAAACTTTTATTCATTCCCATGAACTTGACAACTTCCTGAGAATTAAAGACATTACTGAAGGCCCCAGGGGGAAGGGAAGTGCACACAGCCCAGCAGCTGTTGAGGTGAGCAGAGACCCATGTGGCACCAGGGCTCAGTCTTAGGCCCGGAGGGAAGTGCCTACAGCCCAGCTGCGACCAAGGTGAGTCAAGACCTGTGTGTGGGACCAGGGCTCAGTCTAAGGCCTGGGAAGGATGTACCCACAGCTCAGCAGCCTTTGAGGTGAGCCAA